TGCAAACATAAACATACCATACGTCAAATAAAATTTTACTATAATATAATAAACTCTGGGCAGCGGACTTCGATCGCATTATTCATGTACATTTCGACTGAACTCTAATAACCATGCGTTTGAATTACGTGCGGCACTGGGCAATGGCATCCAGAGTTCATGCACTGATATTTAAATTCGGGCCACCCAGCTTGACGCAAATCAATATAGTTACTTGTCATTTGTTCGAAAAATCTTTTAACGAAGAGTTAACTGGGGTTTAAATGAAAGGGACAGTCTTTTTTGGACAAAAAACACATCAGTACAAGATTATGTGTGCAAGGTTAGATTTATAGAAGGTACATGACTGCTTAACTTTGTGTTTTTTACCGAATCCGGTATAATGAAAATGTGACACGAGGTCAATCGCCCCCAATCAAAAATGTCAATTTACGCACCATAGGGCGGTTCACTTAAATGACGTAATAGAATAATGGCGGGCACATGGTCAAAATTGGCAGATAATGAAAAATTGGCAGATATAACATCGATTGAAGAAGAACTGATGAACTATCATGATTTTTTTTGTATTTGTAATGGTGATGAAACGTAATCAATGATTGCCTGTGACAATAAAGATTGTATTACTCAATGATACCATTGTCATTTCAAATTGTTTGAAATTCTTTGATCGAATTAACCGCATTGAACCACAATTCAAGTTCCTTTCGCCTATCCGTAAACTTATATTTTTTTTCAGGATAACCATGAAATCATCCAAAGTATTGCAAGATTTGTATACACAGCTTTTCAGATTAGATATACATGTAATTTGTTAGTGTGAGTTCTCCAATAGATGAGTTGTATATGTGTGTGTATGTGTATATATATATAATACTTTAATTTATTGAGGCGAAAAAAAAGTCACGCCTGTAACTTTCGCATTGTAATCTGTTCCCCCAGGTTAGTGGGGTATATTTCTTCAGAGAAATGGAAATAAAATAATAATAATAACATAAGGTGATTATGCCTGAATAAATGTATTTTTGTGCCAGGCACTGGCTCAAATATTTAATTTTTTCAAAAGAAAGCATTACATATTTCCATAAGAATGGCATTACAATCTATGGTTATTTAGTGCACTATCCCTGCATCAACTAGAAACTTCTTGGTCGTATTTCACTGCCCTGTGTCAATCTTAAAATTTGTATTTTTACTGTTTTTTTGCATGTATGTATTACTTTGTAGGCCTGATGGATGGCTATATGATAAAGAAGCTATTCTTGAGTATATCCTACATCAGAAGAAAGAAATAGCCAGAAAAATGAAGGAATATGAAAAACAGAAGAAACAATTAGAAGTAATACTATTAATTCTCATCTTACCATCATGATTCATCAACATTTTATTGTAATTCTGTCTATTTTCTTTGGACTTTTGTCTGGAATGCCATTATGATGTGCCTTTGTAACCAATGCATCAACTTCCCATGGAATTGTATATTTCATATTTGCTTTATTAGAAGCGCATCTCCAAAAGAAGTGTAAATAAACAAAAATAGCATTTGTTGTATACTGAATATTTATAGATTACTTAATTTGACCTTAGAAATACGTTACCCTTAATTCATGTAAGCATAACAAAAAATCATTCTTCTCTTTTACTGATTTTTACTGATCAAAATTTGGAAGCAGTGCTAGACTGGCAAAAAAATGAAATTGAAATATAATTTATACATACCCTGCAATAGATAGAAGGAGCAGTCTGATTTGGCTGAGTATTCTTTATTTCAACTGTAGCGCAGCGTCTAGCGTACACCTTAGTACACAAATTTCACACGTATATCAAGCCACACATTATTTTCTCTATCAAATTCAAGATGGCCAAATAGTGACTATCTTTGTACTTAAAAATTTATCAAAATCAGGCTTTTCTGCCATTCCGTTGTTTATGAAACTTGGTAAATACACTGACTAGAATATATCCACTGTCTTAAGAATGTGCTGACTGCATCAAATTTATTGCAGTGTGTAAGTAAGCTTGCCTTTGTATATACTGGTAGTGATACTGTCAATTTTTTTAAAACATACATGTATCAATCAATTTTGTCAGGAGGAAGAAGTTAAGAAGAACAATCAGAAAACACAAACCTCACTGAAAAGATTTGCTGAAACTGGTAAGACTTCTGTCAATTTACTTACTACATCATTTTCCCCACTTCTATTAGTATACATGTGCATTTTTTGAAATCCATGATAACTCTTTTAAAGGTGGATTTAGTTGGATGAATGAAATGCTTCTCTATTGTGCAATAACTGTTGTCATAACCATGCTGAATTCCATCACTTGTGTTTGTACTTGATTAAACTATGGAGCTAAATTACCTCCAGTGTTCTCGCCAGGCCAAAACAGCGTCACGGGCCGGGACGCGATCGGATTTGCCCCCGACACTATGTGTTTCCTCCGCGATGCCATTATTTATCCCGTGATCTGATTTCTTCAGTCTCTCACAGACTGTAAAGTTTCCTGGCTAACTAGTTAAATCTACAAATGCATTGTATTAACGCCAATTTCCCGGGATAATCCTGTTGTTTCTCATTGGTTGGATATTGTTTTAAAAAAACAAAGCAGTTCTATAAAGACAAAGCCGTAAGCCCCAGTGTCAAGCGCTCTTTGCCAAACGTATATTCATATGCAAATGATATAGTCACACTTGGGGTCAAAAGCCACATGTTTCCGGTGTGTACGAAACGTATTTTCATTATTATTTTTAGAAATTATTCTAAGTTTTGATTTTTGTCAGTATTTTTGATATTATATTTGTTTTTTGAGATCAAAATGTGAAAAAAAAATATATATTTAAGATGTAAACAATTTTGACCTCGTGATTGTGAATCCAAGATGGCATCACCCACGTAAAATCCAGCGAGCGTGAACTTCCCACTCGAATCGCATATTGTGCTCAGATTCGAATGAATTAAGTGAAGCATAATTGAAAATAATATATTTATCAAGCAATCAGGGAATTCTAATCAAGAAACGTGTGGAAATTGGAGTGACACTTGTGTTATTTCTTGGAAGAAAAGCCTCAATTTTACGTGGTATAACAATGGCGACAATTCGTAATTCAGACCTCCGTTGTCTCGAATTGTTCACAATTGTGTTGAACAGACAACATCGATGATTAAAAAAAATACATAAAGATGGATAATTTCAGCCAGAAAAACTATTATTGTTCGAACAGTAGCATAAGTATCGTGACTCGTAACAGTTGTTGTACTTAACCGGAAAACAACAGAAACGGAAGACAAGCAATGAGAATAATCAACCCAATGTTTAATTTACCGGGACTGAACAGGGTTTTATAAAGTTGCTGTTTGCTGGGCCAAGCAAAGAAACAGAAAACTCAGTATTTCTGCGGGACATTTGCAATACTAAACATGCAGTGCAATAATTGTATACAGATTGTACATAAAATAAATAGAAAAAAAGGAAAAAAACTGGTTTTGTTTTATTTCCCAATACGACAAACAATATGTTAATTTATGCTAATTATATGCAATTGTTATGCAAATTAGCCGACTCTAAGAAAAACTTCTGGGGAGAACACTGTACCTCTGCGGTTAAACATGCTTGGTGCTTATTTAAGATAGATGTTTATGCAATATATATTTAGTTTATTGATATTTGTTTGAGTAGTCTCTAGTAGTGTTCGCGCACAGCTCCTTAACCCTGAGCTAAGAACAATTTTGTGAACGCTTAGCATGAGTTAAGAAATGCCAAGTCTGGATTAGATCTGGCCTGTTTTTGAGTCCTCTTCCAGATCCGTAGCACGGACTAACAACAAGACTCTTTACTACTTCCTGTTATTCTGCAGTATGCACTTTCTAAATTTGCTTTGGTATTGTTTTATAACTGTACATGTAGAACTTGCATGTATACCTTCCAAGTTACTGTACTAGTAATCATAGTTAAAATGACTGAAGATTTTTGTATACAAGTTTGGACATCCCTTAGTGGGTGCTAACTACTGTTTCGTCCCATGTGTGAATGATATGCAAACATATGAAGTAGAATATGTACTTCTTGTAGCATGAATGCTACTTCTGTATTTTTGTAAAGTTTTGGTAACTTGTAACAGGGGTTGCATTAGTGTTCGATAATGTGGAGTCCCTGGGACCCACCCCTTATAAAATGTGTGGGTCCCTTAAACATATGTGGGGTCCCTGCCGCTATCGCACTTTATTTTTCTAAAATAGTTTTTTGCACGAACTATTACACAATAAACATAAACAGGCATTAATCACATTTATATTGTACTTTATTTACATGTTCATTCCACCCTTTACATGTCAGCAATCTGCATTATTTACATGGTTTCTTCTATTTTTACTGTTATTAAAATGTAATGCTGCTTGTAAAAATTTTAAATTATTACTGGGTTTACCTTCAAGT